TGACTTGGCTAGGTCAGGATGATTAGGTTGAAGAGTGCGTTGTCTAATATCCAACCCCATTTTCATGTGTGTTAATGCAACTAAATAGTTTCCCATCGATTCATAAACCACACCAATGTCGTTGTATGACATGGCTATATCGGGATGATTAGGATGAAGAGATTTATGTTGTATCTCGAGCGCTTTCTCCAAGTGTGAAAGAGCGTTTGTGTACTGTCTCATTAATTTGTACACGGTACCAATGCGAATATGTGGTTTGGCCAAGTCAGAATGATTAGGCGGCAGAGATTTTTTTTGTATCGCTAACGCTTTCTCAAAGTGTGCAAGCGCAGTTGAATACTTTCCCATCGACAGATATACTTCTCCGATATTGTGGTGTAAATTCGCTAGTGAAGGATGATTCGATGGAATCGACTTCGACTGTATTTCTAACGCGTTTTCAAAGTGTGTGAGTGCAGCTGAATATTGTCCCATTGACATATGCACCTCGCCAGTACTGATATATGCCATGAACAAAGGATTATGATAAGATGCAGGAAACTTTTGGGATATTTCAAGTGCCTTTTTACTGTATGACAGTGCAGTTGAGTACTGTCCAGATGTCCGATAGATCTTACTCAGATGAACGTAATGTCCAGCTAGTGCTGGATGATCAATTGGAACGTTTTGACATACTTGAGAAACCTTTTCGAGATGTAACAGAGACGCGTTACCATCACGCCTTTTAGCCATAATTACACTGATAATATAGTTAAATAATGCACTGTTAATTGCATTATCGGCAAATTCCGATTGTTGCCTTGCGCAGCAAATTTCTTCGGCTTTGTTTATCTCACCCATCTCTAACATTAAAATACTCAGTTGGGCCCAATCTGGGAGTCCTTTTGTTTCTTGGCGCATATAATCAGTCAGACGCTTTAGTTCTTGGTCATTATCATTTGTCAATGCAAGTTTCACTCTCCACAATCGGTTATCAATCTGTTCTAGTTCATTGATTCGAAAGACTGTGTGCATTGAGAAAAGAATCTCCTGTTCCGCATCTGAAAAATAACTGACTTGGTCCAATGATGCAAATGGAGCAGAGGAAATGGGTGAATTAATTTCTATTTCAAAGATAATGCCCGTTAACTCAGGGTCCACTTGATTACTATCGGCACGCACAAACGCAATTTGGTAGTCAGTGGTTGTAGACAAAAAGTTATTAAATGAGAGTAGAGCTCCTTGACGTTTATGCATGTAATTAAATTCAGCATTCAGCATACCTTGCCCACGATATACAGTTAATGAATTGCGATTGTTGAAATTCGAATGAAGTTTCTCAATTTGTCTATGGAGATCTCGAATAAAGAACCCCATCTTCAGAATAACCTCAACGTTTTGAATACGAAGTGCTTTATTAAGCATCGAGTATATGAAACATTCTCTGGTATACCACCAGATTGGTGATGGTTGGTCATATTTTTGTTCAAATTCATCGATTATACTAATAGCTGACTCGTTTTCAACCTGCTGTATTAGACAAAATTCAACAAATTCTGTCTTTGCCGTTTCATTATATTCCATCTTGAGAAGAATTTCTTTCAATAATTGTGAGTACATAAATGATTGATCAAGATTATTTATGTCAATAGAAGATGTTTCAGAAGCGAAACTGATCGAAACCAAATTTAAATCAGCTTGTTGCATGTCTCGTTTGAGCACATTGCATAATAGTTCCATTTGAGAGAATACACCTTTCACTTTGTGATGATCTTTAATCCATCGATCGTGTATTTGATTTTCACGACAAAATACATAAAGGGCAAAAAGTTCAGGTATGTCTAAGATAAGAGGAACTAGTTGTTGACTGAAATTATCGGAAACGATTATAAAGGCTTTTTCGTTTTCGATGTTCGTGAGATAATCAATGCATCGATTGGGATCAACAAATGTTTCGATCCAATTACTTACACATCGAAGTTGGCTGATTATATTTTGCGAATATACATCAGATTCACTGGTATTTGGATCTAACCAAATTATTATAAAATTTTCTAAAATACGTTGCTGAGAATCTTGTGTGGACATACGATGTGTCTTGTTAATTTTTGTTGAAGAATGCGGTATCTAGTTAGCTACGTATCACTTTTGGACAAGTGAGTTCGCACTTCCGATGTTATCTCTATCAGTGAAACTGAAAAAAAGCACGTTTCAATTGTCTTCGCGTGTTGATACTGTCGGTTGTTGTCATTGACTTCATGCGTTGTTATCATTGAATCATATTTTAATGCGTCAATATTTTCATGATTAGATAAGGGTGGCTTATCTTGTTTCTACAGAAAATTCTATTTTTTCTTTCTATCACAAAACAATATTTGAAGCAACTAGACAAGAGTTTCAGAAGATATTTACTTTCGAGCTGAGAATGTGATTGTGAGGGGGAGGCAAGCAAACCACGAGCGGGTGGAGGGGGATGTGGGCGTGGGGCTGGGGGGGGGGGGGCGGCGGGCGGTGTCGG